CTGCACTCTGGCCCCATATGGCCACCAGAAGCCCTGTTGGTCTCTCTGCCACAAAGTGAAAGGGGCTGTAGGTTATCAGCTCATCCTACCGGTCTCCTCTGTCTAGAATTTGTAGTCCCTGTTGCTTCCAAGGCTCTGTAATGCCTTAAACATTTTGTTTTAAAATCATCTTATCTAGTGAGAAGCAGAAGCATTCATCTGCTACAATTACTCTATCCTAGCAGGAAGAGGAAAACTGTAATTGCCTTTTAGCAAATACTCCACGTGCAATGATCCTAGAAATCAGAAACACTCTCGAGGGTGAGAATCACCAGCACTGAAATAGGAAACAAAATACATTTAGGAAGTTGTTTTTGAGTTTGGAATTGACCTTCGAGTCTAGCACCTGAAATAAGTATTTCCTATAATTTAAAATTCTAGGGTCATTTCACATAATGCTTCATTTTAATGAGTCTCCCACTTTTGCTGGATTCTGTATTTGAAAGCATTAGTATAGGATTTATACTGCTCTAAATAGGAAATAATTCAAATAATATATGTTTTTCGTGTAAAAAGAGATATCAGTCATCACGACTACTTCAAAAAGGCTGCAATTAACCTTTTTATTCAAGTCATAATTTAGCTATTAGAAAAACATGACTTTATCACAAGGCAGTTTTTCTAGGTGAGGCAACTGTGAAATGCTTAAGGATGTGAACATCTTCCCTATGTATTTAAAATGTATGACTTTATTTTTTCAGTTATTTTAAAATTACAAGGATAATATACTCAGTCCATAATATAGCAGTCTAAATCACTTCTGGAAGTTCCAATCCAGGTAAGATGCTATCTTTACCAAATTACAAAATTTTAAGAAATCACTATAATATTGTGTAATATGGTAAAGTTATTGTTTCTGTTAGAGTCATGTATTACTTTAGTGAGACTTTTACTACAAAAATATCATTTAGTATCAAGTAAAAAAAACATGTTTTTCAGGACTGTTTCTAGTAAGGCAAAGTGTTTTGTTTTTGTGTGCAACTTGATATGGCTTTTAAACTTATATGATTTTGTTTTGAATGAGTTATTGGATGCAAGCTGCTGAAATTAAAAGAATCAGGACAAGGCTGTATAAAAGGTGACATCTTCATTTTGGTGTTGGTCCAAAGCCAGGGCCTTATACATGAGGGGCTTTAAAACTCTTACTTAATTAAATTCAACAGGTAATATCAGTTTTAAATTTAAATAACTTGTACAGTGGTAAGTCTGTACATATACAGCACAATCTTCAATGTTAGATGCCTTGCCAATGAACACAGCATTTCTCTAAGCTGTTTATTTCTAACAATTCATTTTAATTCATATTTTAAAAAAACAAATACACATGAATAGATTGCCATGTAGGATAGACTGGGAAGACCTAAGGTTTTGTACCATTAATGTTGATTGTTGCTTTGAAAGTATTGCAATTGCTGTTTCCTTTTAGTAAAGCTAAATAATCTTCAGACTCAAAATTTAAATTATATCATATTATTACATTTCTTCTTAATCTTTTTAAAGATATTTTACTTTTTATTACACCTTCTACTAGTAGATAATTATTGAGACTGACTCACAGTGATTATGGCTTCTTGAGTGAAAATTGCTTTTCCTTAAGTTAATATTGTTTTTGAGGATGTGGTTTATGTTTGTCTCACATCTGTTTTATAAATGAAATATTAGTAGATTTCAGTTCATTGATCTTGCTAAATAATGTTACTGAATAGATAATTTGGTTCTTTCTTCACAAGGAGCAAAGAAAATCTCAAATAAACAATCTAACCTTACACTTAAAATAACTAGAAAAATAAAACAAACAAAGCTTAGAGTAAGTAAAAGGACAAAAATAATAAAGATTAGAGTGAAAATAAATGACATAGAGACTAACAAAACAATACAAAAGATTAATGAAGCCAAGAGCTTATTCTTTGAAAAGATAAACAAGATTGACAAGCCTTTAACCAAACTCATAAAAAGGATAGGGCCCAAATAAATAAAATCAGAAATGAAAGAGGTGAAGGTACAACCGACACCCAGAAATACAAAGGATTGTATGAAAAGATTACAAACTACTATATGCCAAAAAAATTGGACAACCTGGATAAAATGAATAAATTTCTAGAAACATACAATCTTCCAAAACGGAATCAGGAAAAATCAGAAAATTTGAATAGACCAATTAGAACAAGTGGGACTACATCAGATTAAAACGTTTTTGCACAGCAAAGGAAACCATCAACAAAATGAAAAGACAACCCACCAAATGGGAGAACATATTCACCAAAGATACATTTGATAAGGAATTTATATTCAAAATTTATAAAGAACTTATACAACTCAACCAAAAAAATATCCAATTAAAAAGGGGCAAAGGACCTACCTAGACACTTCTTGGAAGATTACCAATAGACATTATTTGGAAAGCTCAACATCACTAATCATCGGGGAAAGGCAAATTGAAACCACAATGAAATATCACCTCACACCTGTCAGCATGGCTGTCATCAATAAGTCAACAAATAAGTGTTTGTGAGGATGTGGAGAAAAGGGAACCCTTTTTCACTGTTAATGGGAATGCAGATTATTGCAGTCACTGTGGAAAACAGTATGAATATTTCTCAAAATATTAAAAAGTTAACTGCCTTTTGACCCAGCGATTCTATTTTCTAGTAATATATTGGAAGAAACCAGAAACTCTGATTCAAAAACTATATGCACCCATATATTAATTGCTGTGCTATCTACAATAGCCAAGATTTAGAAACAGCCCAAGTGTCTATTAGTAGATGAGTGAATTTTTTTTAAAAAAAAGTTTTGGTACATTTACACAAGAGAATACTGCTCTGCCATAAAAAAGAAGAAAATTTTACCTTTTGCAACCACATAGGATATTATGCTAAGTGAAATAAGCCAGTGAGAGAAAGGTAAATACCACATGACTTCACTTATATGGAATCTAATGAACAACACAAACAAACAAACAAAATAGAAACAGACTGTCAGTGGGAGAAGTTTGGGGGGGACTGAGTGAAATAGCTGAAGAGATTAAGCAAAAATAGAAACTCGTAGAAATACATAAGAGCATGCTGATTACCAGAGGGAAAGAGAGATGGGGCAGATAGAAGAAGGTAAAGGGGGGATAAATGGTGATGGAAGGACACCAACTTCAGGTCATGAACACACAATACAATATACAGAAGGTGCATTATAAGATTGTATATTTGAAACCTATATAATTTTATTAATCAATGTGACCACAATAAATTCAACAAAAATTTAGGTAAGGGATTAAGACTTGCCCTGGCAAAATTTTCAAATTTAAAGAGAAAATCCCACAACAGTTAATTGGGGAAAGCAGGTCACCTTCAAATGAACTAAACTCAGCTTGGCCACAGATATTTTCCTCTACAGAAAAAAATATCAGAAAGTAATGGAGTCATAACATAATCATGTAGTCATCTTCATCATCATCTTCATCACTAACATTTACTGAGCACTTAACTGAACTCTAAGCACTTTATTTTATCATCCAAAATCTTAAGAGGTGCGTATTATTGTTGGTCCATTTACACATAAAGGACAGGGTGTACAGGGAGGTTGACTTGCTCATTGTCTCACAGATTTTCAATAATGGAGCTGAACTTCAAACCCGGGCAGCATGATTCCCCAAGGCCATATCATTGCTACTTATATTCTAGAACTTTGAAAGAGAAAAAAATTGTGATGCAGAGAGCTTATCATTGATGTGTGCCACCGTTTAGAAAATATGCCTCCCATCTATGTGTTTATATAACTGCTCAAAATCTTCCTTCAAATTTCTAAGCTTTTAATCACAGTGAATTATGTTACAGGCAATTACATAAGAAACAGACTGGTGGTAGGCATCAAACTACCTAAAACCTTAGAACTAAGGGTTTCAAAGAAATAACCTCTTGGAATAACCTCTAATAGAGGAATCTAAATAACAGATTTTACTTGGGTAAAAAATGCTAAGGCCAAAGCAATTTTATATGGCACATTTTAGAAAGAAGTCAGATCTGTCTGTGAGTTGACTATCATTGTCCACTGGGACCTGCCTGGCTTATGGGAGTGTCCACCAAAGTCATTGGCGTACATTCTCCACCAACAGGAATCTACAATTTGAGGTGCATTGAAGAAGGAAAATTTATTCAATGCAAACAGTTCAATCGTGACACAGCACAGCTGTGAATACAGCATGGCTGTGGAACAGCTCAGTTATGATATAGCATGGCTGTGAAAACAGCACTGCCATTCCGAAGCCCTGAGGCCAGGCTTCTCTCCAACAGGACAGCAGTGCTCTGCTCCTCATTGATTTTCTGTGCTCCACTTTCTGCCGGTCCGCTCTGCCCTGCCCTGGTCTGCTCCACTGTGCTCCAGGGAGACATCTTTGGAGTTTCAGCCGAGGAAACACAGTCTTTGGTGGGAAGGGAAAGTGGCCTCTCAGAGCAAGAAGGGAGCTGACATTTAACAGAAGTCCTCCTCCCTGGTCCCTGATTGTTTCCTCTTTATGCAAATAAGGACTCTGAATTCTCACAGTTCCATTGCTCCAAAAGGCACTGCTCTGATTGGTCAGTGAATAAGCTGATGGGGATATAGCTGTGCAGCTCTGACTGGCTGGGAAAAGCCCCAGTCCTATTGGTTGAAATAGTATTCCAGGAACTGCTCTATAGGGGCTGGTTCTGGTGGCAGGAACACAGTGCAGCAAGGCTGTTCAGTACAGGAGGCAGGCGGTTCAGTTCAGGCTTCTCCCTGAACTGTAGTTTGTGTGAGAGGCCCTGTGCAGAAATTGCTGCTAGCCTCTGTACTCTAAATGTGAGGCCAGTAAGCCCGCGGGAGCCCTTCTTAGTAGGTATCTGCTTTCTCAGGGTCCTATGGAGGAACTAGGTTGCAGTTCCTGATGGTGTCCTCTCTGGCCCTGGCTGTTTCTTACTTCTCAAACCCATTTTATTTTTGTCTTTCAGGTGAAACTAAGATTTGCTTCAAATACTACCATGGAGTGAGTGGAGCCCTGAGAGCTACGACCCCAAGTGTCACGGTCAAAAATTCAGCAGCTCCTGTAAGTCTAATTCCTTCCTCTTTGGTCAGATCTAACTCTGTGCTTCTTCACTTTTCCATTTGCTGGTGTGTGTGTGTGTGTGTGTGTGTGTGTGTGACAGAGACACTGATAGATTATTAATAGGTAGATAGACAGACATGCATCTCAAAATAATAAAGAGGAATGAGATCTGAAGGCAACCATATAAAAATGCATACCACTTTTTGTACAAGAAATGTCAAGCTTCAGTAGAGAGCCAGATGTTTCTAATAATCTCATGCTTAATAACAGTGAATAATAAAACTTCCTTTGGAACACATTTTAAAATTTCTTGGTTTCAAATATTTACATTTTCATATGTTTTAATTTCTTCTTAGGCTTATAATTAAATGACACATACCCATAAAGCATTGCATAAAATCATTTTCACAGTCAATAAATGGTAGAGCATTTGTCTGGGAATGCAGCATATTTCTTAACCTCAAACATGCCTTTAGAACACATCTTAAACAAGAAGTCAGGATGCAATACCTTCCAGACCAGACAAACATCTTTACTTCCTGGAAAATGTTTATCACAGTTACAGCTGCCTCCACTTGCATACCATCAATCTGGTGCTGAGATGACTTTGTAAATAATGTTAGCAAAAAGCCATGAGTTTGTAGAATTTTATGAAGCTTTAAAAGTGTCTCACCTCTGAGTTTAATAGCTTCTGAGATATACATTATCTTTTGGCACCAGACCTGTTTTGATGCAATAGATGAAGAACCTTTTTGTAAATACCTTGAATAGATGGGAGAAGAATATTTAAATAGGAAGAACCAAAATATGTACACTTTAAGTAGGAAGGAACAAATGTACTATCCATTGTTATCATTGCATGTTTATGCTCATTTTAGCCTAGCATTAAATGTGCAGTTTAGCCCAGCCAGCATGGCTCAGTGGTTGAGCATTGACCAATGAATCAGGAGGTCATGGTTCGATTCATGGTCAGGGCACAAACTGGGGTTGCAAGTTCAATCCCCAGTGTGGGGCATGCAAAAAGCAGCCGATCAATGATTCTCTCTCATCATTGATGCTTTCTATCTCTCTCTCCTTCCCTCTCTGAAATCAATAAAAAAATATATATTTTAAGTGTGCAGTTTAATTTTACACTTTTAAAAAATACAGATTGGAATGCACACACTTTAGACTTGTAATGCTACAAGGCTCTATTAAAAGTATAATATTTGTTGTGTCCTCGGGGAAGTTAAATTCTGAGAAGGAGCAAGCTAGATGTTTATATTTTTAAACTAGAGTTAGAAACTATCCATTGCAATTGTTCCACTGAGGCAAATACAGCACTGTGGTCAGCCTGCCAAAGGCCCAGGTATAGGTTTGAAAGAGAAGAAAAGTCCACAACATTAAAGAAGTTTGAGCCCTGATTGTGCTTGAGCATATTGGACACTTTGAGAGTTAGAAGAGTGGTCCATCCTGAGGGTGCAGTCCTGACCTGTTTGTTGATGCCTGTTGCTCTGTGTCAGCCAGGTGGAGTGAAGAACAGACTAGGAAGGAGAGAGCTTTCCAGTGCGAAGAGGGCTAATGCCTAAACCAACCAGCCTTTCAACTCATTGATCCCGGCCCTGTCTTCCTCTGATTCCTTATCAAATAAAACTCGTAGAGTCACAGACCTATAAAAGAATTAGTTTCCTCTGCTGAGCAGCCCAGCATCCCTGAGATGCATCTTGCATGAGGCCTAAGAGTAGAGACATACTGAGCAGGTTTTCATACAAGCTGCAGCCAAGTGCATAGGCTCATCAGAGGCACCTGCTCAACAGGAGGTGTTCTAGTAATCTCTTTGTACTCTTTTTGGGTTGAAGTAGTGAGCTCTAGTGATGCCATCATTACTCCCCATCTTGGATAAGGCAGCTTGATGATAACATCCAATCACAACTCTTACAGCATCAGGGGTAATTAGAGGCAGGATAGAGAGAGAGAACAAGCCCACACAACCTATAAACCAGGGGTAGGGAACCTTTTTTCTGCCAAGGGCCATTTGGATATTTATAACATCATTCGTAAGCCATACAAAATTGTCAACTTAAAAATTAGCTTCTTATATTTGGTCAAACATTTAATTAATTCACCTTTAATGCCTTGGCAGGGTCAGGCCAAATGATTTCGTGGACCTTATACAAGGCACAGACTGGATGTTCCCCACCCCTGCTATAAACAAAGAGAATTTTGAGCCACAAGTTATCCTGTTTTCCATTTTTCTTTCTTAAGTGCAGATTATCTCCTAATACTCAGATTTTTAAAATTATTTTTTGCAAATATACAATGTATGCAAACATAACTCTGCCTTTGAATAAGTACTCAGAATCATTTCTGAGTAAAATGTACCTAAAAGAGAATGAAAGCCAAGACTCTAGCTGTTTTTATTAATCCATTAACAGGTATATATTGAGCAGTGATGGAAAAGAAAGCATTTTCACAACTTGGTTTGCAAATTGCTTTAGGCTATCCATGTAAAAAATTGTGTTCTGAAATTTCTCAGGAAGGAAATTAAATAAAGGAGACTTTAGAGTTGCTTCTTAATGCCATGCACCGGTTTCTCCCTAATAAACAGAGTTTCCTGGAAATTTCTAAGTAATAAGACAGATCAGAAGAAATGGAGATAGAACAGTTTAACACTATACTTTGCTAAATCAGAACACATTATAATTACAACAGTGAACATTTGTTGACTATCATTCTAGTCCCTTAGGTCTGCTTTAATAAACACTTTTTTTTGCAAATTTGAATGTAAAAAGGCATTATTTACATAAGTAGTTACAAAGGGACTCTAATATTACAATAATGTGGTTTGAATTTCCATTTCTCTGAAAAGTACACCTCATCCCCACTAGCATTTCCCACTCTATTCCTGGGAAAAGACATTAGGTTGCTAGAAGCTTGTTTTAATCAATAATAGCCTAATAAAGTCACAGTGCTGCTGCCTTCATGGAGGGTAGAGAAATAACTTAATAAGACATGTTCGTTTTGGAATATATCTATGACAATGCTTGTCTCCTGTTTTTCTTCTTACAGATTTTTAAAAGCGTTGGCTCTTATGAAACTGTCCAGGAGCAGGGAAGTCGGAGGCTGATCAGCTTTTCTCTCTCAGGTATGTTTTGCTCGCTGAGGGCCTTGTGGAAAGAACAAAAATGTCAACCATCAGGAGATCCGCTTTAATTTGACTCTTTCCTAAAAGTTACTCAACCTTTCTCTGTGCCTCAGTTTCTCCATCTGTAAAACAAAAATTAAAAATATCAGCTTCATTTCCCCTGGCCTCATGAGGATATGGAGGATTCAATAAATAATAGATGCATAAGCACTCTGAGATGATGAGAGGAGAAACTGCTAATTCTACTTTTCCTCCGTTGCCAAGTAGCAGTAATTGAGAGTTTTTCTAAAGTGGAAGTAAGGGAAATCCTGGGGAGAGAAGCAGCTGGCAGACCCTTTGTCTAAATAAAATCTTAATTAAGCCCAATTGAGCTGCTCAAAAATGTACATTCGTGGAAAAACCAGTGTAAGCCATGTAAAGTCTTTAATTTAGTTTATTAGTATTTAGTTAAGAGTAATTTAGTTAATTTTTTCATTTTTATAATGTACCATAGCACTGTAATATGTTAACAATGGGTAAAGGACATTGTACTATTTTTGCAACTTTCTGTAAATCTAAAATAATCTCAACGTGAAAAGTATAAAGAAAAACTGAGTTGCTCTGGCTAAAATTCTCTAGAAAGTTCAGAGCCCCACACACTCAATTTCACCTTAAGTGGTCTTGGGGATATGCAATGGCATGAAGCTCTAGGATTCTGGTGAGTACAGTTTGAGAAACTATTGCCTTAGCTTGTTGTCAAACCAACAACTGTTACAGGCCATAAATGTCAGAGATCTGAGATCACACTCATGCACTGTCCTTGAGAGATGGACAGTCAACTGGGGCTATTCATGTTTAAGTGAGCACCAGTAAAGGACATGTGTGTCTAATGATTTACTGATAGGCGGTTATAGAAAAGTTACAGGATGCAAGGATAATATACAAAAAGTCACTCACTTTTCTATACACCAGCAATAAACAAGTGGAATTTGAAATTAAAAACACAATACCGTTTCATTCGCCCTGGGCATGGGGCTTAATGGAATGGTGGGGCCACGAGGGATGCGTGCTGCACTGAAGGCCCGTGGCCTGTCAGTGTGCCCCTCCTCAGCCCTCCACTCCAGTCAAGGCTTCTTACCTGGACACCCAGCTACCTCCATCTCAGAGAGGCAGTTGGTTGGCGGGACATTATTAAGAGAGATAGAGGAAAACACCAATAAATTAAACATATTTTGTGTTCATGAATTAGAAGAATCAACATAGTTAAAATGACCATATTATCCAAAGCAATATACAGTTTTAATGCAATCTCCATCAAAATCCCACTATGGAAAACATTATGTAAGTTCCTCAAAAAATTAAAAATAGAGTTACCATATGACTCAGCAAGCCCTCTTCTGGGTATGTACCTGAAAATTTTGAAACATTTATTCACAAAAATATATGCACCCCCATGTTTATTGCAGCATTATTCACAGTGGCAAAGACATAGAAACCATATTGTCCCTCAATAGATAATTAGATAAAGATGTGGAACATATAGACAATGGAATACTAAAAGAAAAGCTGAAATGCTACCAATTATGACAAAATGGATGGATCTTGAGAACCTCATGCTAAGTAAAATGTCAGACACAAAAAGTTAAGTATCATATGCTTTCACTCATATGTGTGATATAAAACTTAAAGCAACAAATGAACAAACAAGGCAGATGGGTTAGTGAAGGTTAGAAGGGGTCAAATATATGGTGACCAAAGGTGATTTGACTTTGGAGGTGGCTACACAATGCAATATACAGATAATGTATTATAGAATTACATACTTGAAATCTGTAAAATATTTATTATCCAATGTCACCCCAATAAATTTAATTTCAAAAAAGACAAGAAACAGAAATGTTTATAAAGGGTACTTGGGGAGAAGGAAAATAATAAAGGCCATAAGCTCAGAGATCACAAAAAAACCTATTTATACTTGAGAAATTAACCTATGCCAATATTGATAGTTTTATTGAAAGGTAATATAATATACTGATTAAATGCACATTCTTGGTAATCAAAGAGACAGGTTCCAATTTGATTTCTGATACTGACCAGCTCTGACAACTTCATCAAGTCACTTAACTTATAAGCCTCCATTTTTCTCTTCCTCAAATTAGTAATATCATATCTACCTCATAGAGTTTATGGTTAGAATTAAATCAGATAATGTATTTGAAGGTCATAGTATAGTTCTCAGAATTTAGTAACTAGCTAATAAATAGGACCTGGTAGAGGTGATGGTAGTCATATTATTTTATGATGAATAAATCTACGTCTGTCACACTGTCGGTCAATGACCCCAACAACACCCCAGATTTGGTGACCCACTAGAACAGCATATAATCATACTCATGGCTACTCAGCAGTGCCTGGGTGATGTCTGGAGGGAATCAGTGGTGAGCTTCTGTGAGTCTTCTCCCAGTGGAGTCACACAGAATATACTTATTTCTCCCAGCAACAAATCATGGCGCATATGACATTCTTTGCCAGGTAAGCTCATTACAGACTCATTGCCAAGGAACAGTTCAGTTTTCAAAGCCTTGCCTTTCCTGACAGCGTAGTTATTCAAAATTCTACTCACTGGTATGCACTTGACTCCATAGAGGCCATGTTTTCTTTTTTCATTCTTCCACTGTCCATCTTCTTTGCTCTTTTAACCACCCTTCTATTTCTCTTTATTTCTTCCAATTCTCTCTTATTATTGAAGACGATATTGAAGAACATATTTATTATTTGACTACAATGCTTGCTTTTTTAATGTCTCCACTTTGCAAAATTTTTACCTAGATTTCCTCCTTCAGGGTCGACCCAAGTTTTCTGAAGTGACCCTCAGGTGCTCACCCAACCCCATTATCTTAGCCTGCCTGAAAAACACTTAAGTCCAGTCCAGTAAGGGCCAATGGTCCTCTTAAAAAGCATAATGACTATAATGCCAGTTATGTTTATTTATTATAAGGATTTCTCACCAAAATAATATAATACATGTCATTAAGTGTTTCACATAGTGGCTTCTTTAGACATATCAGTCCACATTTGTAATGAGGTAGAAATAGTCTAAAGAGTGAAATAATTTTCAAAGTTTTAGATAGACCTTTCTTCTTATGAAAGGCCTGATATGTTCTTCAACCTCACTGAAACACAGTATCATTTATTTTATAGATTTCCAGGCCATGGGGTTGAAGAAAGGGATGTTTTTCAACCCAGATCCTTACTTGAAGATTTCCATCCAGCCTGGGAAGCACAGCATCTTCCCTGCCCTCCCTCACCATGGGCAGGAGAGGAGATCTAAAATCATAGGCAACACTGTGAACCCCATCTGGCAGACTGAGGTGAGTGCCGTGGGCCCTGAAAAGAAGCCTGTGTGTTATTACCTGCTTTCTTGGAGCCCTAAACTCTGCTGCTAAGTTCGTGGCTCTCTTGGTCTTAGAAGGGAGTCATGTTCTCTATGGGTTCCTGATAGAGTCCCTCAAGGCAGTACCCACCCTCAGTAACCATATAGTAGTCACTTAATTTGGAAAGCAGCTATGCTCACCACTATACCACCAGCCATATAGTAGTCACTTAATTTGGTTCTAAACCTGTGCCTGAAAGCAGGACAGCCTTTTCCTCTGCCTTTCTGTGGGAGAAGGAAGAGAAGCATTTTGATCTGAGAATTCTCACACTCTTTTCATACATGTGGTCCTTAAGCAAGTGTGCCAAATTTTAAATGAGTCCCTCTGGATTCTAAAACTTGGGACAGGTAAATCAATAGGCCTAGAATAAGGCCTACAATACAAATTGCTTGATTTAAATAGACAGGAAGCATAATTGTTCATCCCATCTTCCTGGTTTACGCAGTGGTAGGCAACTTGCTGGCACATTGAATAGTTTGTTTCGTCTAATGAAGGCCCTTCACTCCTAAATGTGCCTCTTCCACCATTCAGGAGCTAGAAGGTTTCTCAACAAAGCCACGTGTCAGGCTCAGCCTCACAGTGACTAAGTCCTATCCTTGCGAGCTAGCAGAAAGTTGCCTAGTTCGTTAGCTTTAGCATGAGGGTATAACCTGCAAACTGTGTGGGTTGGGGAGCAGGGAAGTTTAGGGCATGAGTGTGGCACAGTCCAACGCAGTAAAAGTGCAGCTTTGCCGTCACACCAACCTTGGTTCAAATCTCAGATTGGCCAAATGAGTTATACTAGTTGTATAACTGAGAAATCAGTTATCCTCAATCTGAGCCTCAGATTATCTTCATTGGGCCCTTACTGCTGGAAATGTACTACTCCAACTGGAGACATTTGCTTTGGACAAGATTCCTTCCTTAATGCTTCAAAGTAGACCATCTCCGATGTAGAGCCCTCAAGCATCCTTAATTAAATATTTGGGGGCAAATGCTTTTTCATTGTCTCTTAAATTATACCCTACTTCCTAGGCTTAACTAACCCTGACCCACATGAGCAGCACTAGAGCTTTTCAGTGTACATAAGGGAAGTGGAATTATACTTTAAACTTCCTACTGCTCTGGTTGAGATTTTTTTAAAGAAAGACTGCAATGTGTGCCTATCCTGGTTACTGCCAGCAGAGCTTACAGCTACGTGTGCTTTGGGTAGGCCACTTCATCTGGGAGTCATCATGTCAGGGTGGGGCTAGTGTAGCTCCCCTGGCTAATCCCATGTGGATTGGGTGCTTTGACCCAGGACAAATGGCATCCGGGGCAGTGTGGGAGAGGGACTTGATACAGGGACATTAGTGGTTGTCCTTTTAGACTTTCCCCATTCTCTGTATGATTCTGGCATCCTATGACCTGCCATCCCTTCACTGGAGCCAAGGGTGAGTGCCTGTAAACAAGATTTTGTGTGATTTCCCTTTAAGAGGATGCCTGGGTTTCCAGCAGCCTTCCATCTGATCCTGTCCTTTTAGACTTTCCCCGAAACCACACAACTCATTCTCTGTATGATTCTGGCATCCTATGACCCGCCATCCCTCCACTGGAGCCAAGGGTGAGTGCCTGCAAGCAAGATTTTGTGTGATTTCCCTTTAAGAGGATGCCTGGGTTTCCAGCAGCCTTCCATCTGATCAGGGCAGAGAGAATCCCCGATGATTTTCACAGCCAGATGCTATGTGGGCTCCTATTCCCAGCACTGGTGCTCTAAGCTGGGAACCTGGCATAGGGTTGAGACCCCTCCCTCCTCAGGGGAAACCTCTGCAACGGAGATATGGCTCCAGATTCTCAACTTCTGCACACGAGTGTGCGCCAGACCATTTTTTGTCTCAGCCCCTCCTAACAGTCTCTATGTGGCTTCTTCTGTGTATCCTCACTTATAGGACTTCTGTCCAGCTAGTCTTCAGATGGTTGTTCAGGTGCATTATTGATAATTAATTTGTAAGTTTGATGTGGACAACCATCTGAAGACTAACTGTTGTTGCCTTTATTTAAAAAGTTATATAATATGCTGTTTTAAAAAATTGCTCAGTGAAAAAGATCTGCTTTCTCCCTTCTCCTACCAGCCCACTTCCTAGAGTTCAGTTTGGAGTGTACCGCTCCAGGCATTTTATCCGCAAAGTATAATGGAATCTCACTCTTCATATTCTTCAATGCCTTGCTTTTTCTCTTAGTTTGTCAAGTATCTTTTCATGTCAGTGCATATTTGCCTGTTTCTTTTTAATGACAGCAGAGAGTTTTCTGTTTCAAAGATTTATCATACTTCACATATCTGGTTCCCTATCGATAGATATGTTTAGTCTTTCCAGTCTTTTGCTATTGCTAATACTGCTCCATTGAACCCCCCATGAAAATATCTGTTTTGCATGCTTGTGCAAGTTAATGCAGAAGGAAAATGCCTAGAAGTAGAATTCTGCTTTGAATGGAATTTGCAGTTTAAATGCCAGTAAATATTGCCAATTCTCTTCCCAAAGATCGAATCAATTTACATTCCCATCAATACAGTGTGGGAGTTCTTGTCTTTTCCCACTCTCAAGAGCATGAGGTATGATCATTCTTTTAAAAAATATCTGCCATTTTAATCATGAAAAAAAGATACTGAATTATTTATTAAAAGTGCATTTCCTTTATTATAGGTGATTTTGTGTGTTTTTCTTACTTTAAGAATTTTAATACCTTTAGTCAAGTGTGGTGGTACCTAATAGTATTCTTTCTTCTTAAGGTGACTTGATTTTATTATTTGAATCTCAGAGAATAACCTTATTTTTAAGCACTGAAGAAGCACCTCATCATTGCCATTACTCTTTTACTGAGTAAACAGGGCTTGGAGCATTCTAAGACCTTGATACATATACAGGGTGTCCCCGCAAAATGTATACACGCACTTTGAACAATTATAAAGACAATGTTTAACAAAATACATTTCATTTTTAAAACTGAGCTATCAACTGTGTATACATTTTGGGGGGCACTCCGTATATATACTGCCATTGGGATGTTTTACCATGACTTTATTATCCAAGCAGATGGACTGGGAATTGGCCAGCCTTCACAACTCTCAGTTAACTGAGACGACATATTATTTCATTGCAGCAATTCAGCTTTGTGTCATTGCCCACTGACGTGCTGGAAATTGAGGTGAAGGACAAGTTTGCCAAGAGCCGGCCCATCATCAAGCGCTTCTTGGGAAAGCTTTCAATGCCGGTTCAGAGGCTCCTGGAAAGACACGCCATAGGGTAAACATGCGATTGAAATCCTTATCAGATATTCTCGAGTAGCAGTCAGCAAACTGCAGCCCATGGCCAAATCTGGCCCAACACCTGTTTCTGTGCAGCCATGAGCTTTTTACATTTTTAATGGTTGGGAAAAAGCAAAGGAAGAGTAATAGTTTGTGATACATTAAAATGATGTGAAATTCATTTCTGTTTCTATCAATGGAAGTTTTATTTGAACACAGCTATGCTTATTAGTTTACTTATTGCCTAGGGCTGCTATCATGTTACAATGGCAGAGTTGAGTGGTTGGGACTGAGACCTCATTACCTACAAAGCCGAAAATATTTACTAACAGGCACTTTACAGAAAATTTGCCAACTTGTGTTCTAAAGAGAGAAAAAAAGATATGAATTTCCTTTGCTTGGTTTTTCTGTGCATGTTGATATTTTCCAAGTACACCCTTAATAACGGACAGGGCCAGCAGCAGGTGCAGGTCTTGCAGTAAATATACAATGTGTAAGAGAGGATACAATCGTGGATACTGAAGACCCTGTGGAGTGCTTCAGAAAGGGAACTGCTACTTTAGAATATTTGATAAGAATTTTCTTGAGGTTTTTCATTGTTGTTGATCAGATGTACATTCCCATGTTTACCTTAAGACCATCTTATAAGTACTGGAGGAGATTATCACCTCCAAATAGCAGGGCCACCCTGGCATGCCTGTCTCATCTGCTGGTATGGTCTTTGGATGAAGAGGTATTGGTCAGATCTGTGATGATGCTTATTTCCTTCCAGGGATAGGGTGGTCAGCTACACACTCGGCCGCAGGCTCCCAACAGATCATGTGAGTGGACAGCTGCAATTCCGATTTGAGATCACTTCCTCCATCCACCCAGGTATTTTCAGCATGAACTTCATGTCTTGTCCTTGTCATGTGGTTAGACAGTGGAGTAGAGATTAACAATAATACCAACGTAGGTATGGAGCCATGTCTAATTTATCATTTTACGTCCAGCACCCACATAGGAGGTGCACAATCGATGTTTAAACATTGCATACATGAGTGACTTAATGAAGGAAGTTGAGCATGAATTAATGTGATACATGTCTTGTTGAAGAACTGCGATTGTACAATGGTTTTTTAATAAAAAGTAAAAACTATAAGTTAAACAGAAAATTTCAGAATCATCCAGTGTTCAGCTTTTCAAGGCAAAGCACATTTCCAAATAAGAATGATAAAAGGCCTCATAATTCCACTTTTTCTCTTCGCCTACAACTAAGTGCAGATCACTCTGAGAATTGTCTGGTCCTTCTAGCTTGCATTATGAGTTGCTGTTAAAGCTAATGAAACTTTTGAGAACTCAAGAGTCTGGAGTTTATCACTGCCCACTCATTGAACTCCAGTGTCTATGCCCATATATAATACAGAATGTAAGAAAACATCCGACTGGGGTTTTTTCCTTTCAAATTGAGCCTTTTCTCTATTCTAAGAATAAAATGGACTCTTTTGTGTAGCAGTAAAGACAAACTTATGGCTCACCAGAGAGGTGATTTTCCTTCAACGTGTGAATTGCACTAGTGTGTTTGAAATGGGAAGTTCACATCTTGCAGGAATCAAATAAAGCAAGCAAGTGGGAGAAGGTAGAGGGACACCAGATTGCTACTCCTTGAATAGTTACTTCGTGTGGAGACCTGGTTTATTCTTCCACTGCAATAATCTCCAAATGTTGGAAGCCTTCCAGTCCTAATCACTGAATAAGTGGTTGCTGCCATCATCTAGCCCTTTTCTACTCTAGTTGCCAAGAACCCAACTTACCCATTCGGCCACCCTGGGGGACACAGCCATAGGAAATACTCTGAGCAAGTATAATTAGCCTTGCCTGGGATCAGCAAGGAACTGTAAACACCCCTCCCCCACCTCTCAGGTCTTTCACATAACAAACATTGTTGAGAACTGTTTGTTAGCTTTCGGTTATTTTAACCAAAAAATGAATTCCCTTAAAACAGAACTCAGGAATATGACTGTAGATCTGTAAATTTTCATTAATACAAAAGAACTCATTTTTTTTTCAAGTGTTTAAAGCACAATCCTGGCATTTGCCAATAGTCCTGGCTTCATTAATAATAGTGTCCCCCTTCACTCTCAATAGTGTCTCTTCTTGAACAATAAATTATATGATCACAATAAAGAAAATGGGATCAAGCATGTAGGAGGGAGAGTAGCTAGCCTTTATTTATTTATTTATTTATTTATTTATTTATTTATTTTACTTGTCCGCCTATGTTCCACCCTTTTGGCAACCACCAGCTTGTTCTGCATATCTATGGGTTTGGTTTTGTTTCTTAATTTGTTTTGTACTGTTAGATTCCATATAAATGAAATCATACAGTATTTGTCTTCCTCCATCTTGACTTATTTCACTTAGTTCATAATATCCTACAGGCCCATCCATATTGTCATAATTGACAAGATTTAATTCTTTTTATTGCTGAGTAATACTCCATTGTGTATATATAACACATCTTTATCCACTCATCTATCAATGGTGACCTGGATTTTTTCCCATACCTTGGCTATTATAAATAACTAGAGGCCCGGTGCACGAGATTCGTGCACTGGATGGGTTGGGGGAGGGGGGGTTGGTCCCTCAGCCCAGCCTGCGCCCTCTCGCAGTCCGGAACCCCTTGGGGGATGTCCACCTGCCGGCTTACTATGACTAAGCCGGCAGTCAGACATCCCTCTTGCAGTCCGAGGCTCTCACAGTCCGGGACCCCTCGCTCCTTACTGCCCCCCCGCAGCAGCGGCGGGAGAGGCTCCTGCCACTGCCGCTG